AGTATGAATACTTCAGCTCTGATTCACAGGAAAAGCTATTTGTACACTTTCAGTGTCAAAACATCTCCAATATAATTATTTTGTACCATTACACCATGTTATGCTGGAATAGTGAATCTCCCCTACTACTATTAGTAAAATTCACAAAATAGTGAAGCATTTTTCTTAAAAGTACTAACTAATTGTACATTTCTGTGTTTAAAAGTAGTTTATAAATTCTAACGTTAACTAAAGCTATCAAAAGAATGTGGAGAAACAAGCTCTATTACTTAATCTAAATAAATAATAATAAATAAAATTTTATTTATACAGCACCTTTCTAGAGAGAGTCACAAAGTACTGCACATAAGATAACAAATAATAAAAGGTAAAACAGACAATACAACAATACAATACAAGCAGGCAAAAATTAATCAAAAGCAGTTTTAAAAAGGTAAGTTTTGAGGTTTTTTTTGTTTGTTTTTTTTTTTTTTAAAAACAACTACTGAGTCCACAGTTCTTAAGGTTTGGGGGAGAGAATTCCACAACCTAGGGGCCACAGTGGCAAAAGCTCTGTCACGGCTGGCGGAGAGCCGTGTGGAGTGGAGGAAAAGGAGGACCCAAAATGCAGCAAACTGATGATACGAGTGACGTTTATTTACAGGGTGGTAGTGGCAAAAACAGGCAATGAAGCATGAGTAATCACAAACGGAAACCTAAACTGGGAGAAACTAAGTGACAAACCTGAGACCATACAAAAGGGGTGCGGGGCAGAGAGACGCAGAGACAGGAACACCATAGAACGCAGCGATACACGGAAGAATGCAGACGAGCCAACAACGAACACAGACCGACACCCACTATATATACACACACAAGGTAATCGGGTAATCGCACACAGGACGGAAGAACAGCTGATCTGAATACACATGATGACTGGAGGACACAAGCTGAACACAATGACAACAGACACAGACTTTCAGAACAAAACAGGAAATCTAGAACCCGAACCGGACACAAGGGGGAAGAAAAAAAAAAAACAAAACAGAGGGAAATAATCACAAAACACAAAACGCTGGGTCAACGACCCAGGACCATGACACTATCACCCTTAGTTCTGATCAGGGCTTACTTTCATAGCAAGTAAGCCCTGATCAGATGACGTCAGGGACCTGCTAGGGACATAGGGCTGTAGCAGATCGGAGACTGTGCCAGTCCATGCAAAGCTCTAAAAGTCAAGATCAGAATCTTAAAATGTACTCTAAATTTAACAGGAAGCCAGTGTAGCTGAGATAGCAGTGGTGTCACATGAGAATTCTTAGGGTATCCACTGTTGTTGTAGAGCAGTTTTGCTATTGCTTTTGTTTTTGTTTTTGTTGGTTAATGTTCATTTGTGTTAATATGAATGCAACCACATATGGAAGTAGTGCAAAACAGAGGTATGATGCTGAAAGGCCTATGTATATGTATATATTGTACTATTCTTAGTTAGCGTATTGTCTGTCTTGTTAATGTTTGTTTATAATGGAGCACTGTAACAAAAAAATAATTTCCCCCAGGGATCAATAAAGTATTCTGATTCTGATGATTGATTCTAAAGGACTCCCTGGTACCCTATTGTCACAGGTGCCTTGAGGGTGACAGGATGAGGAAGTAGTGAGAAAATGGAGATAATGTTCAGCGGTCAAAGGGGCCTTGAGATACTCAGATGTGTGCAATGTTTGTTTATATTTGTATTTATGAGACAAGACAGAGACAATATGTTAAATCTGAAATTGAAGTTGTTTTGGGGTATGTGAAGAATTCCATATGCAAAAAACGTGGTATTTGCTTATTGCCCAATATTGCTTCTTTATTCATGACAAAACTAATTTAAACTGAGGGGAAAAAATCTTGTAAAGAGAATTCCCTCTTATGAAATATCTGAAGCAAATAAGATTATAAAAAGGAAGGCTATGGCAACATTTCCTAATATAATAGGATGAGAACTGAGGAAGTCATATGAATGCAGAGAGACTGAAATAATGGTAAAAATTATATGAGAAGTTTTGCAGTAGGTATTCACTTATGGCATTATCCTGGGCCTCTGCTTAGGTTGAGTCTGGCAGCCTTATGTTTGAACTTGAAAAATATATTACAAACATTTTGAGTGAAAGATGCATCTGGCATTGTCAATAAGTGGGAATTCCTCAATGAGTCATGGCATCAGCAAAGAAAACCAAGAAACTATTTATCGAATAGATGCTGTAGTAAAATATCTCTATTAAAAATATTAAAAAATCAATTAGTCTTTTTACAAGATTTGTAAGAATCTAGGTCTAATTTTTGCAACTTACAGAAAATTTTGGTATTTTGTAAATTCCTTGGCTGACTCTGTCTTGTGTTTTCTTTTTAAGAACTCTAACAGAAAGCATATGCAAACAAATATCAACTTTTATTCAATGCAAAATAGGATATCAATCTTTTTCTCTTCATTATTTTCCCATGCTTTGATCTTTTCATTGCATATACCGAGGCCCCTACTGATGCTGCTTGCTTGTGCCTGGCTCTGAGCTCTTGGCCTTTTTGCCTTTGTAAGGTTATTTAAAATGTCCACTTTCAGTATGTCATTATAAAATAAGCTTCCATGCAAAAGACATGTTAGTGCGTTGCCGCAAGTGTACGCGCAACTGTTTACCTTTGGTGCTCATTCATGAAATGGACCAACTCGTAATCTCACCTATGACAGGCTGACTGGCAGGTCACTAGAAATGGGCTGATACCAGTTCCCTGCCCGAAGACATGAAATAGGATGGTACTTTTTAAACAGATTGTATGTCTGGCTAAATATCCATGTTTTTTTACACTGCTTATATGATTCAGCCTTTCATATGCAAATGTGAAGTTGTTTGCTTAATCTGGATTATGCATGATTAACAAGACAGCTTGAAACCAATGTAACATAACTTATCTTGCTAATAACCACCAAATAAACCTCCAACTCGAATAATGGTCTCTTTGAGCCTTCCTTTACTAGACATACAGCAAACACACTACTCAGATCCATCCTTATTGCTCTGGTCATATGAAGTCACAACAATACATACTTAATAAAGTGAAGCAAACCATCAATCGTGTAGTGATGACCGAACATTTCCCCTAAGCTGGATACAAGCTAGACAAAGAAGTATTGAATCAACCCTCCCCTGAGGTCTAAGCAACATTTTTCTTATGTCATAATGTATTGTGTAACCATATTTTCTTACTCTACTGTGTCTTTCTTTGTAGCTCTTTCAGCATCCTAGATGTGAATTTCCAGAAAGGTTAAAAGAGAATTCAGCTATGCCAGTACTCAGTTACTCATAATAAAGAATGAGTTGACTGGTACTCTCTACAACTGCTTCACATCGCTGACAGCTGCATCAAGGGAAATGAAACCAAATAAATGTTGCCACACATTAAAATATGAATTATTTTCTAATAAATGGAGGACAATAAAGTCAATAAGCACAGTCTGAAATTCACCAATTTGCTAAATAGCAAAAAATCCTGCGGATTCAGTTACCTCCCTCAATCAACATTTGATTGAGAGTTTTACCTCATTGATCTGATGGTTCCTTGAGGAGGCTTTTATATTGTGCTGATGCTGAGGGGAGTGCTTTTGGCGATATTTGCTTTCAAATACAGCAATACTGCTCATGAAAGCTGGTTTAGAGACCACATTATTTTGTATTTACGTCATGCAAATGAGGAACAGTGCCAATTATAATATTAGTGTGCATTTTATGAAGCACACTAATACTGATGCTGCTTGTTTGTGGCTGGCTCTGTGCTCTTTAGCTATATATATATATATTTATGTATATATATGTATATATATATATATATATATATATTATAATGCCCTATAGGAAAATATTATATATATATTCCAACCAAAGTCTGAATATATAGAATGATCTTCTGAATATATTGAATGAAGCTTGACGTGACGCCATCTAGTGTTTTCCTTGTTTGTACCTGCGAGGAATGGCACCATGAGCCAGTCCGCACGGAATTTTGTGGCTCAAATTCTAAGTAATGAGGAGCTAATTAACACCCTGGCAAATGCATGTTCTGGCCAACCTAATATTTGTACTAGTGTACCGCATCGTACTACTGATGAAGAAATTTATTCACTTTTTCATCGTGGAAGACCAAATGCAGTGAACCTCTCCAGTCAGATAACCCCTGGCTATCCAGCTAACGTTATGGAGAACGTGCCTTCCACATCACAGGAGTGCCCCACAACAGGTCCCATCTACAATCTTAGACCTTTTACTCGAAAGGGCCCAAGGCAGAAGAGGTAAGAACAGAACTAAATGCACTGAAATTACTAGTGGAAGGTTAGTAATAGCCCGTAGGTTTCAATTGCTCGACGAAGCTAAGTAAACAAAAATATCACAAAAAAACAAAACAAAAAAACTATGCGATAGACTGACAGCGTGTGGACGTGGAGACTAAACTGTGCACAACAGTTAATTTGTTTAATTGCGGAAACATGCGATTTCTATAATATTTCACGTCCCGTAAGCTTAATCTGCAAACATTGTGTAAAAGCAAAGCACATCAGTTGTTAGAATACATAGTTGTTGGCAGTATATAATTTAATGAAACTTTTTTTAAAGCAACAAAAAGTACTCCGTGAATTGAAGACATTTGTTTATGTGATTGTTAAGTTTCTCCACCCACCCATCCCACTATCTTCCATCAGCTATCCATCCATTCATCCATCCATTCTCTTCCACTTATCCAATTCAGGATTCCAAGAGCCTATCCTAGCTACCATGGGGCTAGAGGGTGTTTATTAATGCAGATTATACATGTGTACAGCATGGTGTATTTTTTTTAATTAAATGTACTTCATTGATCAGAGAAGTGTGAGTATATTACATGCAGAAATGTTTAATTTGCCTTTATCCTCCATTAGGTTTCCAGCACAGCTAAGCAGGTCACATTCTGTGGCTCAGTCTTTCACCAAAGAAGTGATTCTCTTGCCAGACCATCTAAGAGAGAATCTTGGAGCAGATTGTTACTAGAGTAAATAATGACAGCACTGTACGCTTCAACATCATAAGGCGAAATGTGTGGGATGGAGCATCCAGAGCCATGGGCAGATCCAATTTTTCACCAGAGAAAAAAAATAGATGTGAAGTTTACTGATGACTATGGAATATCTGAGGGTGCTGTTGACAATGGAGGACCTACTCGGGAGTTCTTCCGACTTTGCCTCTGTGAAGTCAAGGACAAACTTGGCATCTTTGAAGATCCACCCAATGCTAAAGTTCTTACGTGCAATTCTAAAGGTACTTATGATTTAATTAATTGTTGCCATTTGATTTATTTTACATCAATACATTATACATCAATTGGTTTGTGATTACATGTACGAGTTTAGTATCTCATACAGTTAACTAAACACATTTTTTTGGCAGTGACAGAATTTTTGTACCACCACAGAGGATTTTAAAAAATTAAACCTAGATTGACTGAAGGGAAGATTGTCTGCTTTAGTTGAAAGGTTTAAAACAGTACTACATATTTAGAAATTCTGGCCATTTGTATACATGCTCTCTCATTTCTCAAAGGTAATTATTCAAATGACTGATATGGTGTAATTCAACAATCAAGAGATGCACTTATGAATGGAAACACAGATGTTTTACAACAAGGTGCAATAGTAAATAACTGAAAGGACTTCGCCAGAAAACATCTAAAAGAACTATGCTATACTACTATGAAGATATGGACAGATGACACCAAGATTAAATGATGGAAGGAGAAAAGCATAGTAAAGAAAAGAATAGCTTAAGTCACACATGGTGGAAGCAGTGTTATGACACGGGCATGAGTAGCTGCCACAGAACCAAGCCACTACTGTTGTCAATGATATCACTGGTGATTTGTGAAGTGTAAAGGGCAATCTGTTCAGATTCAGCCAAATGCAAATGCTAAAATGATTGGACAGTGTAAATTGATAATAACCCAAAGCATAACAAGCCAGCTCAGTTACCTGATCTGACTGTAAGGCTGTAAAGAATTGTAAAGAATTTGAATCCTTGTATTAAAAATAATACATAAAATGGTGTTAGCTTTCAATCACTTGTCTAAAGCAACCATCTTTAAAGATGGTGGATAATGTATAAAATTGACTGTAATTCCTAATCAGCTGGTGCCATTTTTTAATAAAATACCTCGAAGGAATTGCACTTTAGTATCATCTTGAATGTTTGGTATTAAAATCCAAGGTGGTGGTGCACAGCAAAATTAAGATGATTTTGTCATTATCCAAACTATTATGGGTGCAACTGTATGGGCAATATTTTTTTCAGAAATAATATTTGGTAACTTATACTATAAAAAATGCCACAGTAACAAAAATAATGATGCAAGCTTTTGAGATGATGTTTTATTTTATTTGTTAACAGCAATGAAAGATAATGGATACTACTATGCTGGCCAGATCATGGCAATGTCAATTGCCCACGGGGGACAGAGTCCATGTTTCTTGTCTGAACTCTTCTATGAGTGTCTTCAAAAGGGTCCAGACAATGTAAAAGTCAGCACTGATCATATTACTGATGAGGAAACAAGGTCACAAGTGCAGTCGGTGAGCATATTTTCTTTTGGTTCTTTCAATTTCATTGTAGGTCTTTTTTTGCTTGTCCAACATTTTTACTAACACTTCCCTAATTTTTCTTGCCCGAGTCCTGCACCTTTCTAGTAAAAGATCAAACATTTTAATGGCTACAAGAAGGAAGAACTAAAAATGTGTGTGGCAGGTTATGGTTCTGTTGGTTACTGCCCAAGAAACTCCAAGTTTCAGTTTTCAGAATTTAATGATTGCACTTGTTTTCCAGCTTAATAACTTATACCTCAGCCTCCTGATCGGTTATGGGGTTTCATAGGGTTAATGTACTAATTAAACACTGAAGCTATTAGTTTTGTATGTTCTACTAAATAGTAGAGTCAAATAATTCATTTTATAATTTCCTCATATTGTTTTTAGATCATACAGGCCGAGAATGATCTACAGCTGCAAGATGCAGTTGCACAGGCAGCCAGCTTGATCAGTCTTGCTGGTCACAATGTTTGCATAACACTTCAAAACAAACAAGAAACTGCTTTGGATCTGGCTCACTGGTATGTCCTTCAACGGACCCGTGCACCTTTTGAAAGGTATGTCTAAACACATACTGTAATGGTAAAAAATTAAGCCTGTCAAACTAAAGTCACTGTGTTGTGAAACAATGGTATTAGCCTGTTTGGGTGGTACAGGTCTGTAGCGCTCCATTCTAGTACAGTTCATAACAAAACAGATATCTTTCATTCATGAAATTAAAATTCACATAAAACGTTGTATCTGTGCCGATGTAGGCATGTGTTTAAATATGTAAATAAAAATAGATTCAAATTGAGTAGCATTTGGGTTGATTGTAGACTGACAGAAAAGGTATGCCAATGGAACAAGAGACCAGATGTATTTGAAAGCAATTTGTCACTTTTACTCCAATTCATGACAGGTCCCTGTGTATCATATTTCAGCTCAGTTGTTCCATGTATAGGCATTCTTTATCTGTATCTAAGACAGTCTGGCCCTGTAAGGGGAAAAATGTTCTTCACCTCTGATACAGCAGTCCACAGGGAAGTAAAATGTAATTAGTTCAGAAATGTCTCTTGATAAAACCTCAAAACCTCTTGTTATGATACAGGTTCCAAATCCCATCAAATACAAATATAATAATAGTAATATAAAATACAATTTGATTTTGTTTTATTTTGGCTAGGTTCAGAGATGGCTTGAGGTCTCTAGGTGTCCTAGATGCTCTACAGACATACCCTCTTCAGATGAAGTGCCTTTTCGTGAAAGCTGGAATGGCTCTCAGAGCAACTGATATGGAGAATCTATTCCAGATCATTCACTCCGAACGAGGGAGTAATGCATTTCAAGATGAGTGCCGGACCCTGGCTTTCTGGCAAGACTATCTTCAGGAGGCAGAATGTGAGTTTACTATTTGGCACATTGTTTGACCATAAATCAAAATTCTCACTTTTGTGCAGCAGCATCATGAAATTACAGACATAGACGCCATAACAAAAAAGGTAGATAGATAGTACTGATGCAAGTGCTGGGTTTACAAAGAACATTGTATCCAAATGTGATTTCAGTTTGACTTCAGTGTATTAACAGGATAAATAAATAACAGGATAAATAGGAGGATAACTAAATAAATAAATTATTACCAATCCTGTATACTGAGTACAAATAATAGGCTATTGCTGCATCCACGTACATTTAATGTTGTGGTCTCACTAACTTCTTTTTTTGACATTGTGGTTTCACTGTATAGCCTAAATAAGCTTCATGTGTGTCTTTCAAATTACAGCTTACTTTTAAAAAAATATACATGTTTCACTTTTGATTTAATCTTTTGGTAATTTAATGTATCTGTACATCAGTAGTCTTAGTCAGAATCTCATTATCATTTTGTATTTTTCTATCTTATAGTTGAAAATGATGTCTCTTTGGAAGATATTCTTGTTTTCTGCACTGGATGTGACAGCATACCAGCCCTGGGTTTTTCTCCAAAGCCAAGCCTTGAGTTCGTCACTAACTGCAGATTTCCAGTGGCCAATACTTGTGAAAATATCCTTCGTATACCAGTTCATGCAGTGTACACTACTTTCAAATCAGACATGGATTTTGCAATACGGAATTCACCAGGATTTGGAAGAGCATGATGTGTTTTCTTAAGGATTGGTGACATGATGAGGATTTGGGTTTTTTTCTATTTTGCATATGCATTTTTTATTTTCTTGTTTTTTGTTAATGTTGTTAACCCCGCATCAGAGTACACCCTGGACAGCAGTAGGACTGTATAGCCTAAATAAGCTTCATGTGTGTCTTTCAAATTACAGCTTAAATACCAGTTCATGCAGTGCACACTACTTTCAAATCAGACATGGATTTGATAAGCCGAAGAGAATGGATGGAATAATTTTGTTTCAGTTTATACATGTGAGGCATTTTTTTGTTTTTTGATTGTAGTTAATTTGTTTTCCTGCTTATATGGCATGTTTTGTCTCTGGTATGACCCATAGTAACATTACATTATTTAGCACCCCTGCAGTGAGCAAAATAATATGCCACAATCTCATTGTTATATAGAATTAAGTTTTCTCAAATGCTTCCTGTGTTCAACTATTCCACATAATGTGAATTTTCAAATGAGATGAGTTAAGCTTTATTTCAGTGTCCCATTTGAACATTTATGCTTTACACAGAACTTTGTATTAATATCATTTAACTTTTAGCTTAACTCACAGGTTTAAAAATGTTTTTGTTAGGTTTTGGTAAAGTTTTGAAAAGTATTACAGTAACCCTACATACTAAAAGGTAGAAAGACAGTATCTCCAACACTGGCAGCAAAGTTGTCTATAAATGTGACAGACATTGGTTAGGTCAAACCTGGTTATGTTACAGGTTGAAATATGAACATTATATCACACTATATGACATTACAATCTTATCAAATTATTATATGTTATCAAAGTATTATAAACAATAATAATAATAATGATAATAAACATAACCTGGTTTGCAGGGAGTGTTTTAAGGATTTTGTTTGCATATTTTACTATACTACTTGATAACACAGGCTCATTGTAGATTGTTTGGGGTTTTTTTCCTCTTTCATTTTGTTTTTTTAAGACCAGCCCTATTACTGCAGAATATTATTTCCTTCCTATGGGTACTGGAAATACACAAATAAAGTGTTCTGTGTTTCTACTTTTTATGTAATTTGTGTCTTTAAAAAAAAGTTTAAAGAGTTTAAAATGTATAACATATTTTATTTAATGAATGAATCATAATTCCTGTTTATTAACAGATACATTAGTACATCATACAATCATATGTAACATATACTGTAACATTTTGTACTGTGACAAGTATGGTTTGTCATGAAAGAAAAGTGTAGTCTAAACACTTTATTTGTCTACTTTTATGATTTAAATGGCACAAGTGAATATGAAGATAAAACCAGTCTTTTTATCTTACTTTTACCTAAATAATAGTCTTGGACCCTTTTCAGTATCATGATATTTCACAATTTTTAGTGTCTGGCACTCAAATACATTTTTTAATTAACACAAACAAATTTACTAATAACTTAACTGAAGCATGCGGCATGCTGTCAAAAAAACTTCTATCCCATGATTTCCATCGTCACTCAAGGGGTCGATCTGCCTCAAGTCAGCCGTCAACTGCTGGTGATGGTAAGAACGATGTCTGAAGTGCACTTGACTGAGCGGTCTGTGATGCTGAGGAAGTTGCAACATTCCAACAGTCCACAGCTGCAGCGGGGAGTGATTTTCCATTGTCCTTAAGCTGTGATGGTTCCACTGATTTACAAATTCATCCACAGATCTGTTAATTCTTGGAAGATATACATGGTGAAGAGCCCTAATATGAAATGGATCAGTGCTATCTAAAATCCCAACATTTTCCATAAAGAGGAAAAGGTCTTTAAAGTATGCTGACACAACTCAATCTTTCAATTCTTTGATTATGCACACTTCGTCCAACCATAAAGCTTCCTCTGTTTGGCCCTCGAGTGTTCAATCATAAACGTGCAATATCAATATTCTCACTGCCAGCATCACCCCTGACACGTTGTGGGAGGCCAAAGAGATCAACGGCACTCTGGAAAAGTTGCATAGCAGTTGATGCTCTGTTATCTGTGCAGCATCTCATGTAGGTAATGCAGCGACTGTAGCCGTCAACTCCTCCATGAAACACAAACCCCCAAGGATTTAACTTATGGTTTGTGTCAATATGCCTGGAATAAGAAGAAATATATTATTATTATGACACTAGATGTACATTAAAATAAAGGTCTATGACTTTGACATTGTACTTCTGTCATGTAACCTATTTCTGGAGATAAACAATATTTTAAACCCAGACATTATACAACATTGTTTATTAAAACACAAACAAATATTATATTACTACAATGCAGGAAGTAATAATTAACATTAATCAAATTTAAGACGTGAAAAAAGGCATACCACACTTGATTTGGGACAGTGACATTGTAGACCCTCCGCTGAATTGCTCTCCGTCCTCTCAAAGCTCTTCCCACTGGATCAACTATTCTTAAACGTTCTCGCACTCGCCACCGCTGAACTCTGATTCCTCTTCCTCTCAAACTACCACTAATGTAGGATTCTCCTGAGCCAGGGGTATGTGTAAGAATCTCAGTAATGAGATGATCAAGATCCACATTTGAAATATTATTAAAATTTCCATAGTCCACTAAACCTAGTTGTATCCTGTGGTTGTACAGTGTTCGAACATTTACTGACAACATTTGAGATATGGCCATCCAACTAAACCCCAAGTCTCGCATGTCAGTCAGCTGAGTA